ATATTATTATATTATTTCGAAAATATCGATGTTAGAAATTTATTGAATACAAGAAATGATGATTTTTCAGTGGAAAATTTAGAAAATAAAGACAATATTAAAGAAATTCCTGCCAAAATGTTAACAACCAAATATTTAAATAATATTGAAAACGTTTTATTCTTTAGTATACATTATCCTGTTTTTGGAAGAAATGTTATTATTCAATATCTCCGTATGGGCAATTATTAAATGTAGAGCAACAAGACCTACGATTTTATTTTTAAAAAGCTTCTGGTCGCAGTATTTTTACCTCTGAAAACGAAGTTTCTCTTAACAAAGATGCTATTCGTTAATACGATATACCTGTATAATCATTTTTCTACATATTTCATTCTTTTTGTAGCTTTTCTACTTGCGACTTATAAGATAACACTAGTACATATTAATAATGCATCATCCATAAATCCACATCCACTAATGCTTGTTATGTTCACCTTTACGATTATTGACGTCTTACTGAATCTGTGCATACATTTACTATTATTTTTCAATATCAGTTTCCAGAAATTCCCTGTTTTCTGTGTTTCCATTAAATTAACACTGCAAGTGTAAATTCTGTATAAACGCATCTTTCCAATGGAAATAAACTGAATACTTTTTGGAAAAAAATCTATAAATACTTTCTTTATTGATTAAACAGAAACAATTTCAATAATTTACCGAATTTATATATGAATTACATTAACTTTTTATTGAATTGAAATTTTTATTATAAATATACATTATTTGCATTGAAATAAAATGCTTCAATTTTTATAAAATGGGAAACTTCAAGAAATGAAATATTGTAATTTTGTCATAATAAATTGATTTAATTTTCAATAACATTTTTTTTAAATTTTCTTTTATACGAATCATCTTTTTAATAGAAACACTGCAATTTCATATTTGGTTTGGTGCAGAAAAATAACAACTAAGAAATCAAAAAGTTAATGACATATGTCATTAATTTTTGTATTAAGGTGGCAATTAGAAAAGAAAACTCTTCAATGTAATCTATGAAATATAACTGTCAATTCTATAATTTATACACAAATTTGTAAAACAAAAAATCTACTTGAATTTTTAATGAAATTTTCGGTATCATTTTTTATATTTTATGTTTTTAATAGAAGCACTGCAATGTCATATTCATACTTGGTGGAAGCATTTGATCTTAAAGGTATCATTAATTTAATTATATCTTTAAACTTGATTTAATAAAAACTAAGATATTTTGACATATGTCATTAATTAGTATGTTAAGTTGGTCATTTATGCAAACAAGAAGCAAGAAAAGCTTTTCAAAAATGAATGAATTGTTAATAAATATTGTAAATTTTATGAAACAGATATATTAATTAACGATTCAATTAATTTAAACTGCATAACGAATCGTACATCCCATGTCAAAATATTGTTTTCAAGTAATTGATTAATTGAATAATTGCCCACATAAACAGTTTAAATTAATCGAAATGTTTTGCGGTTTGAAAACAGTGACCAAAACCATTTCCATTCATTACTCCGCAAGTATACAATGTATATAAGTATATATTTTTGTTAAATTTTGCATAGGTAATTTCCTGCCAACGATTGGGAACCATGCAAAATAAACAAACCAAGTGGTGTTCGACCTTGTACCACTTGCGAGAAGCAATTCGAAGCATTTCGGATTCACGAATTTGCACTATTTGAAATTTACAATCAGTCGACGTATTCGTTTTTGGAATCATCCTTCTTCAACCTAGCCAAAGTTACAAGGATTTTTTTTAGCAAAAGTCATGGGCCTCATATTAAACTCAACGCAAAAAAAAATGTGCAACTTTTTTGTTATTTACTTCTTCGTTTGCCAATTACATGTAATTGAATGTCAAACTGAGTAAACCATTCATTTTCATCCTTATTAATTATAGGATTATTCTCTTCCAATTTACCAATGACGTGCTGTAACTTAAATAAAGTGTCTATTATAGTTGGCGTGCGATAAACAACAATTCGAACGCAATTAAAGTCTCAAAAAATATCTTTCATTTAAATAATAATTATATCACTTTGCTTCACCTTGTTCAGATTTCAAGCGAATCTGAGACAAATATGTGGAAAATTATTTATTTGTTTAATAGTAATAAGAGTTGAAATGAAAACAAACAATGATAAAATAATATAAACAAGAGTTTTGCAACAACAATGTCGATTTTCGTTGCATAAGATTGTTAAAAAACAATTATTTACATACTGCCAAAGGACGTGCCAATGTCCCTCGTCACTTCTGATCCGAATGTGTAATGCATTTTTTGTGCATAACAATCAATCGCGATGAACGATTTATTAAGAAAATATGATACGTTGAAAAACAACTTAACGAAATGTAAACATATTAAAAAAATGTACTTAGACCGATTATCATAGCCAATAAATATATTATCTATGGAGTAAATAGTACACGCAACATGTATTCAAGTATTTTTGTTTATAAACCAGTATTTCAATAAATATAAACTTCAAGAAACTCAATTGAAAATAATAAACAAAACCATACAATATTACCTCACACAGTGCGGGTTATTCCAATATCCCGAACTATTAGAAACCGGACTAATTAAATAATTAAATAAGAAAAAAAAAGAGACTTAAATAAAACAATGTATAAAATGTGTACTAAACTTTTAGAATTTATTGTCACTTTGTTGGAGTAAAGTTTAGTTTATTTTGAAATTATTAAATCGGACTAATCGAAACCGTACTATTCGATGTATTGCTGTGTTTTATCTATGTAGTATTTAATAAATAAGTATTCATGCTTGTATCCAATATGAAGCAAGAATTTATTGTTATCGAGATGAGAATACCAATTAAGGAATGTCGCAAACGGCGATTGTTATAAATCTTGACTTGATTATTCGCCGTATGCAAAATAGTTTGCAACTGTGGGTATCCAAAATTGCGACATTTACATGTGTGGTATTGGACGTGGCCCAGTGTGGAATATGTTCAAAGCAGTTCATGGTAGTTCATTTCTTTAACCCCATTTTTATTCAATCTAAATTGTTTATTTCTTTAAACAATTATTTATTAAACAAAACGTACAAATATTTATTAGTACGGTATTCCCCGACTTACGAAATGGTTCCGTTCCAAAGGGCTGTTCGTAAGTCAAATTTGTTTGTAAGTCGGCTTAACAATTAGTTCCGTTCCAACGGGTTCTTCGTAAGTCAAATTTGTTCGTAAGTCGGCTTACTAATTAGTTCCGTTCCAAAGGGTTCTTCCTAAAACGGCTTACGAACTAGTTCCTTTCCAAAGGGTTGAACGTAAGTCGAATTTGTTCGTAAGTCGGTTTACAAATTAGTTCCGTTCCAAGGGTTGTTCGCAAGTCGGCTTACGAACTAGTTCCGTTCCAAAGGGTTGTTCGTAGTCGAATTTGTTCATAAGTCGGTTTACAAATTAGTTCCGTTCCAAGGGTTGTTCGCAAATTGGCTTACGAACTAGTTCCGTTCCAAAGGGTTGTTCGTAAGTCCAATTTATTCGTAAGTCGGGGGAATTTTAAAAATATACTTATCTTACTACACTTTATCATGGTTTTTACTTTCATATATGTTAAATTCCGTATTACTGACTGCATAAATTTAAAAAATACATAAAAAATAAACAAAATACTTACAAATACTTTTTAATGTAGACATCACAATTATTTAATAAAAAACGACAAAAAAAAAACAAATGCAACAAAACAAATAGTTATTTTAAAACAATATTAAATTAGTTTATTTAAATCATAAAAGCATCCTCTTTTTAGCGCAGTATTAAGGTTGTCATAGGTCTTAGACACAACAAGAATAAGTTAATAATAAAAGGTAAAGGATTTGTAGATGAATTAAGAAGCGGTACAGAATTGTAATTCAACTATATTTTGTGGGCCCCAAAATGTCTCGTGGATCCTTGCCAGTCTTATCCGTTAGGCACAGTCTACGAACAGTCATTTTTTAGCAAATAATTCAATTATTATTTTTTTAGTTCCTATGTTGATATAGAATTTACTATTAATTTTCTCAAACCTTTTAATGTGTTAAAAAATAAATAAAATGCAATTATAATACTTTGTTTCTTTAAATATTTATTTATTTATCTAAACGAATAAATGAATAATCAATAACAATCTTTATTGCAACAGTAAAATAGAAACAAAATTAAACATTTTTATTCACAACTATAATAATAATAAAACAAAGAAGATTAATTGCGGCAAATGTCTATTGTCTATAGAGTTTTCTGGCTACGAACAAATATTTTATTGCATTTAATTAATTACAAAGTAATTTTCAAAGAAAGTTAAATTTGTAGACTTAAATCACAAAATCTCCGGATCTTACAACTCTGCTCCATGCACTCAATTCTACTAAAACACGAAATTCTTCGTTTAAATCTGCACAATCAATAACTAAAAATTCCTAAATTTAACAGGATGGAGGCTGGTTAGATGAGTACAAAATATATTCCAAAGTGAAGACAAGTTTACAATAAGTAAAATAATTTTTAATAAATATATTAATTACTTATTTACTGACAATTTTCTAACTTTTCTTAAAGTTTCTAATTTGTTTAACAAGTGCAATTGTAAGAGTAAGTTGATTTCTATGTTTAATGACTACTTAGGACTTATTAAAAATCTAATTTTTAAATAATGTGCCTTCTTAGAATGTTTAATTACAAAATAGGACCATGGGCCTTAAATTATAAAGACTTTTAACATTAGCTATTTGTCCAGGTTAATATAGGGTATACTTATTAATATTAAATGAGATATTTAAAAAAAATAAATAAAAAATAAATATCTTAAATTTGTTATACAACCAATCTTGCATCACAAATTGTAGCAGTGGTACTAAAATGCTTTTTGTGTAAACTTTTTTTCTTTAAACATTGTTACTTATCTTTGATATGAGTATAAATGTTCAGATTAAATTTAATTTTGTTTTGTATGATTCATAAATGGTGTGTATGTATGTAACAATTGTTGTTTAGGGCAGGTTGATGTTACGTGTGGTTACGTTATATTCAAATGTCAAGAATGTCATGTCTGCTGTCAGTCACAAGATTTTTTTAAGTTAATTTTAAATATTAGAAAGATTAAGTTACGCTTGGAGATAGCTTTAAACAACTGTTTATTTATTGCCCTTTGTTCGTGTATATAATGATAGATACAATGTATCCATTTATGGCATTCATGGTAAACGGTGTCCGCATAACCTAAAAATGTAGAGTGATTTTTAAATATTTTTCCAGAATGTTGAAAGTTCACGCTCTTACATCGACGACCTGTACTCTTTGGATTCGGAGAAATGTCTGTCGTCGATAATATGCATAAAGAACTCCGTGATTGGTTCCAACAGACAGAAGGAAAGTGTTATAGCACAAGGCATCGTACCAAGACTTCTGCAGCTGTTGGAGAACCAGCACATGACAAGTTCTGTGAGATTCGAGGCAGCTGTCACAATTGGATCACTTGCTAAAGGAACATATGACCACATTGAACTCCTAATAGATTCAGGCACAGTTCCACTATTATTGAACATCATTGAAGAAAATGATTCAAGATTGGTGGATGCATGTTTGTGTTGTCTTCGCACTCTGTCACATCATGACACTAGACCATCACTTTACACAGAGAAGCAGTTGAAGAAACTGCTGGAATTTGCAGGTCCCACAGACAGTCTTTTAAGGCAGTCTTGTGTTGCCAGTATTTTGACTTCTGCTTGCAAAAGCCCCAATGAACAAAACGCTCTATGCACTGTGGGTGCTCCCAGAATATTGGCAAGTCTGATTAGTGTTGAGCATGTGGCTGTGAGACTACCAGTACTCACCTGTCTTGCAGCCATGTGCTACAACAACAGAGTAACTTCAGAACAAATCGCAAATACCACTTACCAAGATCTTAAAATTCCATGTCATCTAGTGGAATTTGTGAATCGAGATAAACCAGTGGAAATACAGCTGGAAGCAGCCAAATGCCTGACAAACTTATACAGGTCAGAGAGAGACATTCATATTTTACATTACATTCAATATTAATAATAATTTTAGGGCTGACGCGATTTCTTCGAAAAATACAATAATTTTGTATAAAACTTTGCCCTGTCTTGTAAGATTATGCCAGATTGAACATTCAGAGAGTCAGAGGGCTATGGCAGCAGATACTTTAGCTTATTTGACTGAAGTTGATAGTGAGTTGCAGCAAACAGCTGCAATCAGTAATCAATTGGTGGCCGCTATTGCTGACCTTTTGAACTGCCAAAGCGTCGCAGCGCGACAGGCTGCGTTCAGGTAATTCAATAGTATTACGAATCTTTTTGTTAATAATTTAATGGATTGTTCAGAGCATTTGCATCGCTTGGCGCAAACGATGAGGATATCAGGAAAAGGATTATAGAGACGCACAAATTGATGGAACGCGTTGTGGATGGTTTGGGTGATCAAGAGGAAGCGGTTCGACTGGCGACACTACGATGTCTCCATTCTTTGAGTCGATCTGTACAACAGTTGCGTACAACCTTCCAAGACCACTCAGTGTGGAAACCTCTCATGACTTTATTAACAGGTGAAGAGAATGCGATTGTAATAACATTGCAATTATTGTCTTGTTTTACACGCAGGTTCTCCACCAGCTGAACTTTTAACTGTAGCTTCATCATCCCTCTGCAATCTATTGCTTGAATTCTCTCCAGCCAAAGAGCCAATGATTCAGTTAGGTGTTGTTCAGTTTCTCGCTGCTTTGACTACTCGCCCGGAGGCGGCGTTACGTTTGAACGGGATTTGGGCTCTGATGAATTTAGCTTTTCAAACGGAGCAGCGCGTCAAGTCCCAAATTTTAACTGCTCTAGGCACAGATCAAATCTTCCGGTTACTTGCCGACTCTGATGTTGAAGTATTAATGAAGACACTGGGACTCTTGAGGAATCTGGTATCTCCTCGAGAGCACACAGACAATATGATGGTATTACATGGTCCCCAGGTTATGCAAGCTGTCGTTTTAGTATTGGAAGGTCCACACAGTCCGCAGGTATACGCTACTATAAAAAATGCATTTCTGATGTTTGAATGAACTTTTTTTTTGTGATCAGGTAAAGGAACAAGCTCTGTGTATTCTCGTAAATATAGCGGATGGGGAACGCGCGAGGGACCATATTATGGAGAACGAGGATGTCCTAAAGAAGTTAAGGGATTACATGACGCATCCCGCTCCCGTTTTGCAGACAGCCGCAATTTATTGCATAGGCAATTTGGTGCGAAAGGGCGAATCCGGTTCGAACGAACGTCAGATCAAACTTCGGGATATGGGCGTGTTGAGTATTCTTCAGCAATTGGTATCAACGGCGGACGGTGGATTAAGCGACAGGTAACGTTGTAAATTAGTTGCACGAAACCGCACTAATGCAGAATAACAAATATTAATTGAAACGTACTCTGGATGATTGGAAATTTATTGATTTTTTGTGTAATATTTTAGGAAAGGATTACGAATTATTTTGAACATCCAGTAAATAAAAGAAGCGGGTCGGATTGAATGAATACTCTTTAATATTCTTACAAATATTTTCTATTTCAGATGCATTTTGCTACGTCTTATTATTTTTTTTTGTAAATATTATTTATACTTGATTAATATATATATTAAAACAATGAAACTAAATAAAAAAAAAGAAACAAAAGAAACGAAAAGAAAAAAAAAACATGTTAATAATAAAAAGAACGTGACAATTCGTGACGTAAGAACGAAACTTCGTCTGGATCTTTTAGTTACCTTTTTAGTTAAATACTTTTCTAATCTGTTTCAGAGTGAACGCAGCTATGACCCAGTTTACAGATCTGTGAATAACATAAAATACTATTATTTTTTTATTTAATAAACCAATCTTTAAAAAAATTATAAATAATATATATATATATGTGATGTGTAGACTGAATATGCTAATAGATAGTATTTATTGTTGTCAATATTTCTTTAAGTAATAAAATCTATTCTTATTTTACTTTTACATACGTAATAGATATGTAATAAACTTCATTATTTATCTTTTATTTAAACATTATTATGTATTGTATGTTTACATTTTTTTTTCAGTTTTCATAAAAATCATGCATTACAGAACTATACGAAAACTTAACAAATTTCACAAGGTATTTATATATAGGTAAGTACTTATTTTGACTAATCTTAACTACAATCTTATTTGTTGCAATTTTCTGGAAAATAGACTAGAAGACAATGTGTTATACACATACAGCAATACCTCTCATAATGCGGATTAACTATACTCTGTTTAAAGCCTCTTTTTTGTACTGTTTATTTTTATGCGGTTTTGTGCAGGATATTGAAGGAACCAATAATATGCACTATGATTGATGCATTTTGAATCATCTGTATAAAATGATACTTTTATCTTCAAATAATTGAAAACAAATGTAGTTTTTGAGTAAAGGCAGGATATGTTTGTAATGAATGAATATAAGTAGCTTCTAATATTTTCAGTTATAATCAGCTTATGTACATAACAAAGGAAGCTCAAACTTCCTGGCAAGATAAAGAATCGCTTTACTTATAGTATATCCAAATATCGTTTATGCAAATTATATAACAATGGTTATACTTAAGTGGTCAATATACTACTGTAGATCTTATTTGCAATGAACAAATATTTATATCATTGACATCTAAATTTATAATGTAAACATAATATTTTATTTAAAATTAACGTGACCAATAAAAATGTGAATAAATGTATACTATTATCTAGATGTAAATATTCAATATGTACAGTAATTATGCAGGAGAACTAGCTTTAACATAAAGAGATTTAAATATTTTAGATTAGATATTTATAATAAAATATAGAATTGTGCATTTGAACTAATAAGTTGGGTAATGTCCTGTAGGTAGGGAAAAACATGAATCCACCCACGCAGGAATCGGTCGATGATAACGTACTGTACACACAAGAATTCTGTAGTTCAGAGTATTCTCTGAATTGCGCGCTGAAAGCAACCGCAAGTGACGTAAACAGAGACGTAAGGCAAGCAAAGTTGATTACGTTGACTATTTTATTTATTATGCTTTCAAGTTTATTTTAATTTGGGATTAAAAACAAACAAACAAAATGAAGACCATGCAACAGTATTGGGTTACGAAGAAATCTGTTTCGCGAAAATTCGGTGGCAAAGAAGACGAATGTATAATCTCATCGGACGCAGAGCTGGACGCTAAATTGGAACTCTTTCGTTCCATCTCCGAGAGCTGCATACACCTGCAGAAGGTTATAGACATCTACCAGGAACGTCTGTGTTGCCTGGCCCAGGAGGAAAACGCGCTCGGCAGATACCTGAAAGAATGCGGAAAGAACGAGAAGAATTCCACAGCTGCTCAAATCATGTCAGTTAGTGGGAAAGCCCTTGCCTACTCAGGTCATCAACGTCTGACAATCAGACCACCCCTTGTCCGATTGCACCATGAAGTGGAGACTTTCAGAGGAAGGGCTGTCTCAGATACACGTGTCACTGTTCTTGAGATGGAGAAGGCCAGAACAGAGTATAGGGCAGCCCTGAGTTGGATGAAATCTGCCTCCTCCCAATTGGATCCAGATACTGGGTATGGTCTAGAAAAATTTAGAAAAGCTCAAGCTTATGTGAGATCCACGAAAGTAAGATTCGACAGACTGATGTTGGCTTGCTTGCAAAAGGTTGATTTACTAGCAGCAGCTAGATGCAACATGTTTTCACATGCACTGATTGGCTACCAAGACACAATTTCCATATATTCAGAGAAACTGTTCCAAAGCTTTGATCTTGCTATAACCAAATTATCCCAGCAAAGTGCCAGCCTAGCTGAAGCCACCACAATTGGAGAAGATGATAAAGACAAGAACACTTTCTTCAATGCTGAATACACAGATGATAAGCCAACTGGGGAAGTAGAGAAATCACCAAAGCAGGAAGATGATGATGAAAATGTGAGCGACTTGTTGGGTGAAAGCTTTTTTAATATAAATACAGAACAGACTACTGAGGAGAGTACAAATGAATCTGAACTGTCTGGCTTGAACTGGCCAATGAGTACAACGACCAGTGATTTTATACAACAAAATTTTATGCCTTCTCAGTTACTTCAAGCAGATTTTGATCCTGCTATGATTAAAGAGAATGATAAGGAGGACTCTGAAATGCCAAAGAAAGATGATAAGAAACTATCACAGATGAATTGGTTGAGTTTGTTTGCTGAACTGGATCCACTTGCTCAAGATGAAAGTGCAACAAGTGGAGATCGAGCTTAAATTAAATTACATTTTGTAAGGGGGCTTGCAAATGAAAAGTATTATTATTAATCTCTTGGTTTTATGTATGCTAGTCAAAAAAAAAAAATATATATATCAATATCTAAATTGTATGCACCAAATATTAATTCTAAGTACAATTGTGTATTCTTTTCTATTATTGAATATATAATTATCAACAATATAATGTGCACATTATTATAATGAGTCGATATTTATTATACTTTATGGATTCATTAGGAAAGAAATTATAATTTAATGTAATTACAGGTTTACTTCTTTTATTTTCTCGTTTTGTTGTTGTGGCAATATGTAAGTAAATTTGTATCTCGATATGTATATGCTGAAATGCGAGCAGTATACATTTTTACCGGCATCAGTGGCCATCTTGTTTGGGCTGTTGTCAGAAAAATCAATGTATACGAGTTATCAAATAATTTGGAATTATTTGAAGCAAATAGTTTGAAGAACTAGGCTCTGTGTATTGAAGTTCAGCTGGAGAATATAATACTGGCAAGGTAAGGAACAAGTCTGTGCAAAGTACAGTGATATTTTAAAACACTTCTTTCCAACTTCAAAGCATTCAACCAATTGTGTTTGCATTATGTTGTAACCAAGTTATTAGTTGAAAACATGCAGTATGTAACAAAAGTTATGAGTAACAGTTCTCAAGTCCGCGAATCTAAAGACTTTTCAGTAGTTTTGTGTTCCGTGTAAAATCCTCAGTCATGATAAAACCAAACCAAAAAGTTATTAGTTAAATCAAAAGAAAACATGTATTTTGTGAAGAGACGAGATGATGCTTGTACAACAAAGTGTTTTTATGGTAATGATGGAGATGGCTGCTATTGCCAGGTAAGATAACACAATAAACCAACGGAGTCAGAACATACTACCATATATATACATATATATATACTATAAATATAGAAAGATAACGTAAAATGATATATATTTGAATTGTGCTATTTATTTTAAGCATTTTAATGTGTTATTGATTAATATATTATATTTCAAAATCAATCATACAAATGACTTTCCAATTAATCAATACCTAATAAATGTGATTTATTTTCCATTTATTTAATATTGAAAGTCATTTGTAATCATTCAAAAATACACTTTCATAAATTCTATATAATCTCTATGCTCTCTTCAGCTTTTACCAATATGGACTCAGATAGGGAAGCTTCATCTGGCAATGAAAGTGATTCGGACAGAATCAAAGATGGACCTAAGAGCCCTGGTAGCTCTCGTTCCATTAGTCAAGCATCATCACATGGTGATGCAGCTTCCTACAATAGTGAATCACCACAATCTCCAGATAGCAGACCAAATTCAAGTAATAGCAGAAGGCAGTCAGCTCAATCTCCAGACAACAGACCAGACTCCCCAGTTAGCAGACCTCAATCACAAAACTCATCAGTGCACAGTGCTGGAAACAACCGTTCAAGATCACAATCTCCACACAGTGAAGGTCCTAGATCACCTTCACCTTATTCATCAGAATCACCAACCGCATTGAGAAATGGATCTAAGAGATCACCATCACATAGTAGCAGAAGCAGCAGTAATTCTCCAGACAGGATGAGTGAAGTTTCAAATAAAAGTGAATCTTCTCGAGGTTCCAGAAAAGCCAGAAAAGATGCTAATTTAGAAGATGGAAATTCTTCTGACTCCAGTTTATCCAGTATGGATTCTGGTAGGAGGAAACAAAAAAGATTTTCTAAGGCTCCAGATACACAAGATACTCAGGCAGAAGAGATATCAGATGGTAAATTAATATGGCATTTTTTTGTTATATTTGAGTACTAATAGTTGTTTTTTTTTAGGTGATATGGAACTTGACAATGATAAAGATTCAGTAGAATTGAAAAAAGCGACTGAATCAAATATTACCCATGACGCAGATGATCTATCAGACGTTTCCGACTTGGATGAATCTATAGGAGGTGATTCAGATAAAGAAGATGCTTTGTTATCTCCCAAGGATACAGATTATTCTCCAAAGCGAGTGGAGAAATCTCATAGGACTGAAGAAGGCGAAGAACAATTGGATTTTGAAGCAGAAGACGGCGAATGTGCTGAAGCTGAAGTAGTGAAAGACAAGGAGGATAAATCCTCGGAGGTTTCGCATCAGAAAGTATCAATTGAGATTAGCGATACAGAGGAGAAAAAGGTATCTAAGAAAGATGACAAGGAAGAACTAGAAGAAGGTGAAGAATTGGAAGAAGGAGAGGTCTCTGATGAAGATGAGGTAAGACCGGAAGAAACGGAACCTAGGCCAGTATGTCGTTTCTTTTCACGAGGTCAATGTACTTGGGGCGCAAGTTGTAGATTTTTACATCCTGGTGTTACAGATAAAGGTAGTACATTTATTTCATAATTCAACAGCCTTATTCTACATGTGTATTGCTTACAGGAAATTATACGATGTTTGAAATGATCAGACCTGTCGTACCAGGCGAGTTTGGCAGAGAAGATCGGGCTGCTTATAGCGGAAGACCAGATCCTCCGGCTGTGGAATCCGCATGGGAACGAGGATTACGTACAGCTAAGGAAATGTTGAGAAAATCTATCAAACGAAAAGAGCAAGATATTGATTTCGAAGAGAAGAAAATGAATCTTAGTTTAGCTCAAGAGGAATTTGATAAGGAAAATGGTTATTACCCAAGGGCACCCTCTCCTGAACCCAGGTAAATAATTTTGTTGTTATTGGTAGTTGTAAAATATTTAAATCATTTGTTGTTTTTTTAAAATTTAGATACACACGCCATCCTGTACCTGCAGATTACCAAGTACCAAGGGCGTCAACGGACGAGTACTTTGGCAGGAGACAAGTTATTTACGAAACAGAATACCCACCACGTGACCGTGCGAGGCCGACGTTTAGGGAGATGCCTCCATCTCATAGACCGCATCCGGATTACCGTTTTGAAGAGGAGGTTCCGAAACAGAGAAGACCTAAACGGGAAGTAATCGTTCAGCGAACAGTCGAAGAAAGACCGGCACGTGCCGATGACTGGTCTGATCCATGGATGCGATCGAAATCACCAGGGCTGAAAAAAGGAGCTACCGTTGGTGGTGTAGGAGGGTAAGTCGTTACTGTTCCCAAAAGTTCCAAATCTACCTCTAACTGTACATAATCCTATTCCTAAACAAACCGAAGAAACGAATTGTCGTTAATGTGGTAGTTTATACTTGCTTCAGGAAGAGGTCGTACAGTTCAGGTTCTAGTTATTCGTCAAGTAGCTCATCGCGAAGTTCATCTAGGTCTAGCAGGAGTTCCTATCGTTCAAGATCAAGATCGCCACGCCATCACAGGAGTAGAGCTGTTAGAGGTGCTGCTGGAGGTGGCAGCAGTGCACGTGGAAGACACGCTGTTTCTCCGACATTAATAGTATCCGAAAGAAAAGCGGCAAATGAACGTGCCGCTTTAATGAATCCTCCTGCGCCTAGAAAGAAGGCCGTATCACCTGGTTAGTACTACAACTTAATACGTATTTTTCGCAATACTTATATTAATTTCTATCTATCACATTAGGTATGATGAGGGTAGGAGCTCAGAACCCACCAGCACCTTCAACGAAAGTGGATGGAAGAAGAAAACTGGCCGCAGCACTGGCCAGGGTTAAAACCCGCAGGAAATCTTCTCGTTCTTCATCCGGTAGTAGCTCCGGTTCCAGTTCTAGTGATACTGATTCATCTTCGAGCAGTTCATCTTCAAGAGATAACAGTCCACCGAACAGAAGGGCAGGAGGTAGAGTTATTGTTTCAAGTGGTCACTCGATCCATAAGTTATTTGGATACATTGATTAATAATTGTGTTAACTTGCAGGTGTTGATTTAGCGTTAGCTATAAAAACGAAGGAGCTGGATGCCTTCAAAGGAAATTCAGAAAAAAGACCTATAAAATTGACTTTGAAAAATTCAGCTGGACGAAAACCGGACGCTGGAAATAGCAGTAAAACGACAGAGCCTAGTTCCAACAACATAAAGAAGAGGATGGCATCATCACCGCCACCAGGGGACAAAAGTAAGAAAGGGGCCGGAGCTAGTTCCAGACGCGAAGAATTATTGAAGCAGCTAAAAGCAGTCGAGGATGCCATTGCTAAGAAGAGATCAAAAGTTAACTAATTATAGCTTTCTATAATTTAAACGTACTTTATACTAAGCATTACAAGTAATCTTTCTCAAACGATTTTTAGTAATCCAGTGTTTTCTATACATAGATGTAGATATAAATAATATATGTTACATTTCAGTGGATCTATTTATATTAGATATTAAAGTGAAACATTAACTTTGTAATTTAAAATATAGGAATAAATTTTTTTATCATACATATTAAGAGCGTATGTATGTGTTGCGGTATATATCAAATATATTTGGATTTGTTTATTATCATTTTTGTGGCGTGATTTGATCTCTTAAATCATTTCAAAAATAAAAACGATTTTTTTATTAAACATACAATTATTACAAACCCTACACTTTACTCCCAAGTAAAATAAACTTAAATAAAAATTCTGCCATTTTGCTAAATTTCCTAACTGCAACGCTAAAGAGAAGATGAAAATACTGGTCTTCAATATTAGGTTATGTAATCTAACCTAAAAAGTCTGAATTAAGATATTCCATTAGTATTAAGAATAAGAAACTGATCGGGATGGCAAGTACGGAGCATTTGAAGTTATCTACGTTCATCAAAGATGTGCATAAGCGGTTACGAGAAGATTCAAAGAGTATTGGTCCGGAGGCAGCTTGGAAAAAGCATTGCGAGGATGCAACCACACTTAATCAATATGCAGATTCCATGAAGGAGTTAGCAACGATCCATTGGAAACAGAATGAAGACAAGGAAAAGTCCAAAGCTTTCTCTAGGATAAGCTGGATTTACAAGCAGGCTGTGGGGTATTTCAGGGAAGGCGGTTTGGATTATCAAAGGGATCGCGAAAAAAGTATATCAATAATATTAAATATTGATGGTAGTGTATATAAAGACTTTGAAAATGAAAGACAATTAAAATTACTAGACGTTGGAAGTTGCTACAATCCATTTCAACAATTTGATGAGTTCGACGTCCTTGCCATAGACATTGCACCAGCAAATGATAACGTTAAAAAATGCGACTTTTTAAACATTGATATTGTTGATGGCAGTGATATTAATACAACCGTTGATACTGTGATAAGCCTGAAAAATGAATCATTTGCAGTCGTGGTATTTAGTTTGCTTTTGGAATATCTACCTTCTGCAGAGCAGAGGCTTTGTTGTTGCCAAAACGCTTATGATCTTTTAATACCAGAAGGTATATTAATTATTATAACACCGGACGCTAAACATGTTGGAGCTAACGCCAAGTACATGAAGTCCTGGAGGTTTGTGTTAGCAAAAATGGGATTTAGTCGAATTAAATACGAAAAGTTAACGTATTTACATTGTATGGTCTTCAGGAAGAGTGTAAATCCAGCTGTTGCCCAGAGATGGGCTAAAATGAATGAAGACAAAAATGTTTATGATTCCATTAATATACCACAAGATTTCAATAACCATAAGTCTGCAGATGACGTGTTACATGCATAGATGATTATGTATGTTAATAATAAAAGTTTAATTTAAAATTTTGTACTGTTATTTTATTTGTATGCTGGTATCGTAGGTCCCTGTAATTCTGGGTTGAACTATTGTATATTAAACACAAAATGGCCGATGTATCAGTCAGTTGTCAAAAGTTCATGAAAGTTTGTATTTTAAGAGGCTCGTAATTAATCAATACTCTGCATGTAATAATCCTAATACCTCACGAAAAACATAGTATCTAAGAGTAATGTTATTGCATAAATGAATAAATAAGTTATACTACATATAAAAATGATTGTGCAAGAACCAGTCCAGGTAAATAAAAATAATTTCTAATTTTTAAGTGCATATAAATAATGGATTTTCTTCAAAAAACCATTATAACTGTTAACTGAATTTTCTATATATAAATATGTGCATGTTTTTAGGCTGCTATATGGCATTGTTTGAATCATTATGACTTTAGTGATGCCATTTTCCTCTCTGAAAGATTGTATGCTGAAGGTATTGTATTCAATTTGTTATTTTTTTTCCCATTATTCTAATATTTCATATTGTTTTAGTTAAAACTGATGATAGTTTATTTCTCCTTGCAACCACATACTACAGGAGTGGGCAAATTGACCATGCCTACTATATTTTAAAAGATAAATCTACAATGTCTTCACAATGTCGTTATCTTCTAAGCAGCTGTGCCTTTGAAATGCAGAAGTAATATTTAAAGAAAAACTACTTTAAATTCTAAATTATAAATATAATAATTATTTTAGATATGCAGAAGCAGAGATGGCACTGACAGACACCTTGGTTATAAAGAGCACCAATTTTGAGGAAATTATAGAGGAGTATGAGGATCAAGCATCTTTTGCACTGCTACTGCTTGCGAAGATATCAGCGAAAACTGGTCGACGGCAGCAGGCTATAGATGCTTACAAACGTGCACTGAAGATAAATCCTTTCTTGTGGAGCTGCTTTGAGAGTATGTGCAACATGGGCGAGAAGCCAAATGCGAGCACGTATTTTCAATTGAGCGAACTGGAAAACCTGAACCAATGCCATGGTAAAAATTTAAGTAACATTGAGAGCGTGGTGCTGACCTGCAACCAAACTAATACCCCAATTCAGGAGAATCAAGCGTACATCACAACACCTCAGCAGATATTCAGCAACACGTATGCACCCGTCAACAATATCAATCCCACGAAAATTTGCACACCAGAGGATAGTCCCTTAGCTAACCCATTATGTCTCTCAGGATTTAGTATGCTGCCTTCGAGCCGCATCAAACTACCACGCTTTAAGATGATAGACTCATTAAATACAGTAAGTAAATCAATTTATAATTTTATTTTTATACCTGATCTTAATTAAATATAATCCAATTTATTGAAAAGTAGTACAACCAATGAAATAGACATATTTATGTGATCAGTATTCAAATGTCAAAGATTTTGTATAAAATATTAAATTGATCTTTTTTTGATTGTTTAGACTAGTCCGGCAACGACTCCTTCGTTTGGGCATATAGTGGATGACTTTATGAGTACACCAAATATACATTCACAGCCAAACTTTGTGGAGGTGACCGAGCAAAAGTCATTTACGAAGAAGATGCGATCTCACGTTGGTAATTTGCTGGTTAGGAAGGAGGCGATTCTTCAAAACAGTAAACCTGTATTTAGTCAAACAGGTAATGTGAACAATACGATACCGATGACGCCGAGTACACCTGCCACGGTATCGTCAGGGCCGAACGTGCGGCGGAGTTCCAGGCTGTTCAGCAACAGTTACTCGGTGAAGGAAAACAACAAATCGCCAAACAGGAATAAGTTCGCAACGCCGAAATCGCCGTCGCGCAAAACGAAGCAGCGTTTGGCCAAGTGTAGTCTGAACGACTTCAACAGTTACATGGATTTAAATACCAAAAACCGATTGAAGAAAGAGAAATCAGAGACGGTCACATCGGCCGAGTTAAAAACCAATAGTGCAATAACAAATCTAAGTGCCAATAGTAATAGTAATGCGACGCAGTTACAGAAACAGAGTGCGGAAGGTTTGATGTGTCTGCTGAGGGACATGGGACAGGCGTATCTTCACATGTCTCAGTACAACTGCAAGTTGGCTATCGAGGAATTGAATCAGTTGCCGCCTCATCAGTTCCAAACAACTTGGGTGTACAGCATGCTGGGTTTGGCGTACTTCGAAATGACTGATTACGAGAACGCGGTTAAACATTTTTCGGAGATTCGAAGTCGTGAACCTTACAGAATTAAGCACATGGATATATACTCGACGTCGCTCTGGCATCTGCAGAAAGAGGTTACGCTCTCCGCTTTGGCGCAGGATCTCCTGCAGCTGAACAAGAACTCTGCAGTTACATGGATCGTAAGCGGTAACTGCTTCTCGTTGCATAAGGAGCACGACACGGCTATCAAATTTCTGCATAGAGCGGTGCAAGTGGACCCTACGTTACCCTATGCATACACCCTGTTGGGCCACGAGTACATAACTACTGAAGAGCTGGATAAAGCGATGAGCTGCTACAGAAACGCCATTCGTCTGGATCCGCGTCACTACAACGCCTGGTTCGGTATAGGCACGATCTACTCGAAACAAGAACGTTATCATTTAGCTGAAATCAATTACAATAAGGCGCTCTCGATTAATCCACACAGTTCGGTAATTCTGTGCCACATCGGTGTGGTGCAGCACTCGCTGAAGAAGATTGAGAAAGCTCTCAGCACGTTAAATTCGGCTATCGCGAAGGAATCGAAAAATCCGTTGTGCAAGTTCCACAGGGCGTCGATCTACTTTGCAATCGGCGGTCACACGGAAGCCCTCAAAGAGTTAGAAGAATTAAAAGACATCGTTCCCAAAGAATCCCTAGTGTATTATTTAACAGGAAAGGTCCATAAGAAATTAGGCAATACGGATCTGGCGCTCATGCACTTCAGCTGGGCCACGGACCTGGATCCTAAAGGCGCGAGCGGTCAAATCAAGGAGGCGTTCGATCCGTCGATCGGAAGAACGGCGGCGGATACAGACTCCCCAGCCTCTCCGCCCGTAGAGGAGTATCCCTCAGAGGGCAACTCCGTGCATCACGACAATACCGCCTTCAGCGCACTACAAGAAGACAGTGATGACAGTCTTTAATCGCAGCATGTATAGTGATGACAGTCTTTAGTCACAGTGTATTTATGATCATTGTGCGTGTTCCCGGTGTACATGTTGATGAAGATCGTGATCCCATTGTCCTCCTTCTCCACCACTCTCCCAGCTATTCTCACCAACCCATGTGTTACAGTTGTTAGAGCCTTTTATAATTTTTATTATATATTTTTTATTTCCATTTGTATTACTTTTCTTTTTAATATACACCAATCTTTTTTTTTTTGCCCAAAAAAATCCATGTTACTTATATTTCCAGAGTAGTCTGCGATTGAATGAATCGGAAGGGCGAAGATAACAGCGCTCATTAATTACGTAATAATTCATACCGCTTTCTTCTTCTCATAGCAATTATTTACTTGTTGCTATTGAAATCGTCGTTGGTGTTGCAAACCAAAGTGACTTCTCGTCAGATAAATACATTTTAAATATCGATTGAATTGAATTACATAAAGTTGGTTGATAAGACAAATGACTGTGAATTTTGTTTTCAATAAATATAATATTAACCTATGATATTTTTTTAGTTAGATTTAATTTAAAGCAATCAAGTTAACACAATTTATATTAAATCCTACAATTGATTGTTATTTCCAGAACTTGAAAAAGATTATATAATTGAACATTTACAATTTCTACTTTATTTTATTTCATTACACTTGCCATAACTTAAAAATTAAAATATGAAAATTAAATTTACTTTTTAATTAAAAATAACGGTTAAAACTGCTTCAAAAATATTTAAATTTTATATTTGGTATAAGTAGAATACTTACGTAATTCTTTCATCCATAATTTAAAAAAAAATAAGTATAAGTTTAATATTTGCAATCGCTAACTAGTTGAACTATAAGCTTAACTTTAATAGTTATAGATGGATCATACGGAAAGAGTTCAGGTTTACGATTACGTTCCAAGTAAATGTTTATCGTTCCAGAATCGGTTTCGGTTAGTTTAAAAAATTCGGTTTGATTCAGTGCGTTGAGATCTGGGGTTTCACGTTTATTCTTAATTACACGAAAATTACGTAACTTTTTATGAAATAAAAGCAATAAGTTTCGATCGATACAAGCAGAATAATTGAAGCAGATGAATAACGATGCGTTCTCGAGCGACCGTTGCGGGATATTTTCTAAATTGAACAAATTGTTAATAATGTTTAACCAAAGAAATGTTATCTTTTTAATTAGGTATTATTGATTAGGTTTAATTGAAAATATATAAGAAGAAGGAATAATTATCAACCATTAATCACTAAAGTTCTTCATCTTCAGAAAACATACAACAGAAACTACAGATAACTAGGAACAATTCTTAAAATCTTTTACATAAGACATACGGAATCAGTGTCTTTGTATTAGAATGTGCATTAATTGTTAATAGGCATAAGGTAAGTAGTCAACAATCATTGGTACAATTGTTATTATTGTAGGTGAAGCTGATAGCAACATGCCTTTAATTATTAGAGTCTAATATATACTTGACGACCTAGAAAGTGGAAAGCATTTTTTACTAGCAGATTTCATTTGCAAATAGTGGAAATCTTAACTGCTGAATGTGACCAAAAATGTTACTTCATTACAGAGATGGATAACAACTATAAACCCTGTAGTACTCATTATTCTATTGTTGCTTCGTACATGATCCTTAGAGACTGGATAACATTTCTGAATGCTAAATGCATTGAAAATACTGGCAAAACAAAAATTTTAATTTTCGTCAAATTCCCAGAAAGAGACTAAAAGTATTTTGATTCATATAACTATCAATCTATATTTTCATTAATTTTAATCTCTGTATATTTGAGATCAATATTCTTCTAGAATCAAGTGCTTACGAAAATACAAGCCATTTTCAAAAAAGGTGTTTTCCAAACTGTCTAATAGTTTTCAAAGTTTGATAGTTAATTGTGACCAAGCTATGGTAGCTAAAAGAGTGTATTTTTACTCATTGTAATCTCTGTATATTTAAGATCAACATTAATGTTCAAAATTATATTGAGAGTTGATGCATACGAAAATACAGGCCATTTTCGAAGACGTTATTTACCCAACTCATTTGTGATATAGCGAAGTTTGTAAATCAATTATGAAGACATCACTGGAGCCACAAACTAATATTTATGCTAATTTTAATCTGTGTATATTCAAAATCAACATCCATATATAACATTCTTCTGGGAGCTTATGTTTACGAAAATACAGGCCATTATCTAAGACATTGTTTTCCTATTTGTTCAAAGAAGTGTATATGTATGTTTGGTTGTCTGCATATTAGGCGAAAAATAAATATTCCATTTTTGTGACAACTAGCACCATCTGTTAGCTATATTTCAAAGGTTATAGTTCAGGCACTTTAGCGCTGCACAAAATCCACTTCCTTAAAAACGTTCTAATTTAAATAAACAAACAAAATAGTGCTTGAACAAATATAATCTTATTACTTTAATTTAATAATTAAAATACTAATTATATTTCGAGTTATAAGCGTTTTAATTATGATAAGCAGCTTCATCTATCGGAATTTGTAAGAAATAGTCTGCAGCAGGCATATGTATGTGTAGTTGCAGACTGTTTCTTGTAACTTTCTTATTAATTATTTTATAGCAAACGAAAGCGAAAGAATTATTTTTTAGAAGAGTAAATTAAGAGTTTCAAATATCTATGAATATTTATTTATTTAACTATTTTTTCAATTTGCTGCAATACTCGATTACCATTCATTAAACCTACAACCTTTCCAATGAGCTAATTGCCTGCATTGTGGTTTGATTACTACACAAGTTTTCAAAATTAAGCATTTTAGTATAAATAAACACTAGCACCGGTACATTAATTTAATGAGAAAAAAAAACAATTGAACTTAAATTAAAATTTCATTCCGCTTTTTCAATTGAGTAATTATACGTTCCGGTTACAGTTCCGTTAAAAATGATGGTTAATTTCGGTTTGACTCTCTTATCACACGTTACTACAATTAATATTACTTTCATCTCTCCGTTATACATAAAATGTTATATTTAGCGGATTTGGCGCAGTATTCATTTCATGTTCGTAATTGGGACTTTAATTATTAGTTATTTACTATATTTTGATTTAATACTATTTCAGAAATAGTTCAATAGGAATACAAACAGGATATTTACTAAAACAAGTTAATATATATATATATTCATTTATAAAATAGTTCTTATATCTATTTTGTAGTTGTGATCAAGACGGATCAACATATAATATATTTAAACATAAGTTATTAATTTCTATGTATATGTACAAAATTTGGTATAATAAAATATATAACAAAAAATAACACTTTTAGAACCAGATGCCATCATCATCCTCGGGGATCTGTTGATTATTGGTACTATCATTTAGATTGCCACCGCCTCCCCCATTCTCATCGTCACTCTCGCTAACTGCAAGATCGTCGTCAATTTTCATAACGTTACTTCCCTCATCCTTGACGCGCATTGGTAAACCGGCCATAAGGAAATCGGAAGGATCGTAGTTCGGATCAACGTCCATACTTTCATCTGCAATTATTAACAATTACATTTAAACAGTTCACTTAATTTGAATAACAAATATGCATTTACCTTTGAACATCAATTGTTCGGAACCTCCGCCTTCCATTTCATTCTGATAATATGCCATGCTTCCCAATTGAACCATCGCCTCGGCAACTTGCTGACTGTCATCATCTGCGATCTCCTGATCGGGCATCTCCGCGCTTATCATAATACTCTGCTTACTATCCTCGAACTCGTGTAAAGGCACTTCATCCATTTCCTCCTCGCTGGAGAACTGTAAATCCTCCTCCAACGTCGCAGACGTTTTCTTCTTCGTCTTGTTCTTGCTAATACGACGCATCTTCGATGGCGGACTCAACTCATCGTTGGACAAATTAACACCTCCCTCAACATCCACGAAATCCAAATCGTCCAATCCGGATTTATGATTGTACATGTGATCCGGTGAACTAGTTTGACTCTGAAATATAAAATTTAACATTAAGTATATAATGCAAAATAATCAAAAAAAAATTACAATTCTATCAGGTTCTGCTATGGTGTAATTATCTTCATCGCCGTCCATCCAGTTATGATCGTCATCCTCATTAGCTCTCTCCTGAATTATACTGATCTTGCTTTCTAATTGTGTAAGGTGATCATCGTACTAAAATAAACAATTAATTAATTATAATTCAACTAATTTGAAGACGAAACACGAACCTCATCCAAAGTCATTCTGCAAACTTTCACCAACAACTCCGCTTTTTGCGTGAAGGGTGAATCCTTGCCGTTGTACAGAGTACAATTTTCCAAAATTTGCGTTATATCCACAAGAAATTCGTGTCTGCTGTGATATTTATGAGCAGCGACTTTCTTGGTAATTGTTTCCAAATCCATTGGTCGCTTAATTATGTTGTAATAATCTTTCACTTGCTTCTTGTTGACGGGTTTCAGGAATGGCCAGGATTCGGACATCGCCTTCAATTTAGTATTGACTACATTGTCTAGGATAAAGGTCAAAGCTACTTGGTCGTTATCATCCAATAACGGATTAATAACTTTCTCAAGCCTCATCAACCTTTCTTCCTTTTCGGCTAATCTTTCCACGCACTTTTGTAGCATCCGCTGTGCCGCAAGAGTCAAAGTGCTCTTAGCACCTAAATATTTCAAAATAATAATTAAAACTTATCTTAGGTATCAATAAATTACTAACCATTATATAAAGATGAATTTTCAACGATTTGATTAACATCAGCTAAAAATTCTTCGCGACTTTGGTATTTCTTCTGCCTAAGATTTTCTCTGATAGTCTGTAGATCCATAGGTCTTTGAACGATTTTATGGTAATCCAAAACCATCTAAAAGATGAATTTAATAAATGTGTTACTTTAAACATTTTACTGAAATAGATTACTTTTGCATTAACGGGAAACAAGAACGGTTGAACGTCGGGCATATCTCTTAATTCGTTCAAAATATTTTCAAGTATTGTGGATAAAACGACGACCGGGTCGGTGCGTCTTCTATTCGCAGGTCGACTATGCTTCTTGAGATAATCACAGTGAATATCCGTAGGCATCTTTTTCCGTTTCTTATTGCCCATCGCATCTTTAGGTACTTTCAACAATAGCGTTTTCCTCTTCATTTCTTCGGCGTGCTAAAAATTGTCCAATGGATTAATATGATAGTATTTATATGCGTAAAACCATTTACTACATTCAACAATCGTTTGGACAGCTTCATCTTTGTACCATCCACGTTCACTAAATCTTCATCATCTGTATTTAGCTGTTTCTCAATTTCTTCCTCCTGTTCTTCAGTCATCGCGACGTTCATTGGAGCCAATCCTCCACCAGAGCTTTGATATAACGGACACGCCTTGTTAGTCCTAAAATATACAAACATTGAAAAAAAAAGCTGTTTGTTACACATCTAACATTTGATATTTACCTCATGTGACCGACATTTCCGCAAGCTCCGCATTTTAATTTGAGATCCGGTTTCAGCTTATTTTTCCTTCTTGATTTTGGCGGCGATAGCAACGGTTTACTTGAAGATGGCGCCGACGGTAAAGGCATTGAAGGCACTAAAATTTAATAAGAAAGTTAATAATGCGTCAATCTTCGTTGATGTTCGAAATATTACATTCGATCATTCTATCTATAACTTTCTCAGCGACAGGCGCATGGTGTTGGGAATGCGAAAAATGTGAAGAATTTGATGTAGAGGAATTTGGAATACTCGCAGCAGGAAGAGAACTTCCGCCCATGGCCATGCGCTCTCTTTCCTGGTTTCTTTTGATACGTCTCAGCTGTTCTTGAATACGACGTTTCTCTCGTTTCATCTCCTCTTTCTGAACATCATCCAGCGTTGCAAATTGCCTTATGAACTGATCATCCTTGGTAGTTCTTATTTTCACGTAGGCGTCAATCACCGAAGCTTTTCGGACGATTTCGACGCGCGTGAATTCCTTCCCTTCGGCATCCCGGAATGTTCTAAATATTTTTAAAACTCGTCCTACGGATGACGTTTATTAAATATTTAATTTCAATATAAACTGTATACAATTACCTTGTTGAGCCATACCGGATTGATCATGACCATCATCATCATCCTTATTTTTCTTATCTTTGCATTTCTTATCTTCTCCTTCCATGATCATTTTTCGTAACTCTTGACGCTCTTGTTCTTCACGTTCAAGTGATAACTAATGATAAGTTTACATTAAACTATTATACTCAACTTTCTTTGTAGTACATACCTGACTACTAGTTTTTTTGTTGGAAAGCATATTTTCAATATTTTTACCCATCTCTTCGATATCCTCATCAGAGTCTTCATCAGAACTTTCTCCCTCATCAGTACTGAGAACTTCAGCACTGGCTAACACACGGTTTTGCAAGTCGAATATCCTCTGACATTCCTCTTTATATCTATTAAAATAATTAATCAATTAATTGCAATTAAAGTTTAAATCAATATCTCATTACCTTTCTTGATGTTCTGCAATTGAAAATCTGTTTCCTCTAGAGAATTTATCCATACCTTCTTCACCTGCCTTCGCTTTTTCTGTTGACAATGTTCTGACAACATCAATGACTTCCCATCGAGATAATTTTTTAATCTAAAAATGCCACTACTTAATAAAATTGATTTTAAATGAAAATAGGCATATTTACCTCATCCTCGGGAACTCCGAATTTTCTGAGCAAAGCCTTAGCATTGTTCAATGATAACCTACGTAAATCGGCATCGGTTCCTGTGACCGTCCTTTTTGGTTGCGATTCTTGTTCTTCTTTACTTTGCTAAAATGGAAATGAATCATATTTAATATAATATTAAGTTATTGGTTAAGAGAACTTAGATCAACATACCGTTGGTTTGTTAGGTACTCGAATGTAACTGAATCCTTCACCGCAACCAGTAGGATCAGCAGGTCCGGTAAGCTGTAGTAAGCACTTAGATTTCATGGCTTGGATGTATGAACGAGTTGTGTTCCATGGAGCAACTTTGATTTCGTCATCCATTTTAAGCTGCATCTCTTCGTCGTCATCATCTGCTGGTGCGAACAAGAATTTTTCACCGTAACCGGCGTCGTGCAATCTTTGTTCAGCAGCAACCATACTAAAGTATGCGCAGCATTGTTCCGGCGACACCATAGCTCGGATTTCCTCTTCTGATGGAAGTCGGAATTCAGGCTTCATGACCCACCAATTAGAATCCATTCCGGTACGTTTGAAGTCGGCGCAAAGCTTCAAACGTTTACGTATACTGCTTTCAGAATGCGACGGGAAAGCTTTCTTAATGTCGTCCATTTTTATCCTTCGTGGAATGTCAGGGCTCTTCCAGAACAGCCGGTAAATGAAAACTTGCAAAAAATCACGTACGAAATTATTTGCGCGCTTCGAATTCGGACCTGGAACTTCATAAAGGGGACACTCTTGTCCAGCCAAGAAAAGCGCGTCCATCTCTCTTATGTAATATTGACTCCTAGTTCTGATTATTATGAAGTCGGTCTCGTTTATTTTGTGTTCATAAATCGGAGCCCTGCAATGTAAAATATTACAATTAATGAAATAATTCCAATAAATTTACTGAATACATACCTGTACATATTATTTTCAACGGCTTGTATCGATTGACCTGGATGTAAAATACCTAAGAACGGTGAGGTATGAGCGTACGCAGTTTCGCCGTATTTATAAGTAGGAGGACCCGAATCTTTTCCTGCCTTTCTTTTGTAATAGTTCTTCAATTTCGAACACATGCCGACCTAAGAAATGTTATAATTAATTATCGCAAAAAGCAAACATCAATTTATTATACTTACTTGATTCATAAGAGGAGGATGCTCTTCGCAAAATTCTAACAAAATAATATCGCCGTCTCTACCAGTCAAATCTTCCGGCTTTCTCATGAAGAATACATCTCCGCCACCTGATGCCATCCTTTCGGTTTCACGTTGCTTCGCCTTCTTTTTTATGTGCTTGATGAGTGCAAGAATTGAGTGCGGACCTGGATGGGCCAAAGGTCCATGCGAGTATCTCTTCAGTGGTGGCCTGTGGAAATTTCTTAGACGCATTTGTCCCATATGCGTTTGTATGAATGGCACACGCAACTCAACAACTGGCGTAGAATGTTGAATCAAATTGCCACCGCCCACTTTCAAACGTAAAGTAGTTTCTGAAGATCTCGGCATGTAAAATCTAAAATTATCGTTGATTAAGGTCAAATATAAAATATATGATATATATATTAATATTTACATATCGTTCGATATATTGAATGGATCACGATCTGGCGATTTTGGAGGAGGCAGTGGCGTGTCCTCCTGCAAAACGTTAATAACACCGGCTTTTCCTAATAGAATCTTTGATTTTTTGACGTGAGGATGCGGAATTTTCACTTTAACCGGAGTTGCTTGACCTGTAACATCAATAATTAGTAACTATTCCAAAGATATATATTATTTTTATTATTTACCTGCAATTTGTTTGGACGGATCAATATCATCTGGCACTCCCAAAATGATATTCTCATCGTTAGGATCCAGCGTCAGTATGGATGGTTTCGGTACGGACTTCATATTTTCCGAATCCCAAATAACATCATTCTCCCATACACCATATACAAGATCCTCGTTTTCAACAGGGAAAATTGAATACCAAGTATCATCTTGTTCCGGTTCGTTGCGTTGCTTGTTCAAAGCTCTGGAAATAAATCCAGCAATATAATAAAACACGAGTAATAATCATTCGTTCTTTGAAACTTACAATTGATTTTTTGATTGGATCTTAGCTCCTGGAAGAGGAGGTGCTGGTATTGGTGGTATCCTGCCCGTTCCCGGTATTGCACCTCCTTTTCCTGGTTGACTGAACGCTTGAGCTGTCCTGTTCCCGCTGCTTGGCACCCAACCAGCAGCATTGCTTTTGGAATTGAGCTTCTGTAACACCTTCAAAAATTTAAACAATAACATAGAAATAGTGGACCTAAGTGTTTACGTAACCAATACAAGAACTGTTTTGATCAAATAGCAACAAATAGAGAACACATTTCGCAGATACATCACAATTCACGAACCTTATTCTTAATATCGTTTCCGTCCCACACAACGTCATCTTCCCAGTGCAGTTGTGTGACCATTAAAAATGAATCATCAGGGAAACTATTCTCGCCGTTGCGCCTCACGATCTCTTCAATACCGTCTTCATTTTTCTATTGGAATAGATGAATCAGTTAAATAATTTATAGTTAAACAACAGTATTGCAATGGTTACGTACATCTTTGACTTTGAAACCGTACGTAAAGTCTTCTCCGGTTTCTGGTACTTCTATCATATCGTACCAGATTTTTGCAGGGCCGAACCTCCAATCCGCGGCTTTAGGACCGGTGTCATCTTTGGCGTTTGCCTCCTTTGTCATATCCACAGCTATAGCTTCCAATTTCAATTTGAACTTATCCTACTCAACAATACGATATTAATATTTCTTAAAATCAATGATCTGTTTGATTTAACAAACCTCATCATCAGTTTGACATTGATCAGGGGGTGGAACAGGAGCGTAATCGAAACTCCATCCCCTGTATTTCGGTTTCTCCTCATCGGAAGCACTGTCAGAATCGTGCTGATTCGAGTCTTCCTTCATCTTTTTCTTTTTACGCTTCTTGCGAACATTTCGCCATATATTTGGAAGACTGCTCGGTTTTCCTGGTCCAAAGAGTCGAGAAAATCTTAACACCTAATAAACAATTTGTTATATTACAAATATTTGTTAAACAGTAACATTAATTAAGAAAACGTACGTCTCCATGTCTGAAATCAGGAAAGAATTCTGTAACATCTATATCTGCATATTTCGATGGCCTCATAGCTGCCAAAGGAGTTTCAAACTTCTTTTTGTCATCTGAGCAGTTTTCTAATTTCGGCGCAGGTGGTGGTGGCATCAACTTTACATCCTTAGACTTCAATTCATCATCAGCATCATAATCCACCTCCTCTGATTTTATCTAATTTTTATTTAAATTATTTATGTATTAAGAAAAACTTATTTTGGCAATTTTCTTAGCTTACTTTTGTTTCTGTATTATCATCCTCTGCCAACTCATTAATATCTGAATAATCCACAGCGGCAACATCCTTATCATTCTGCTTAGATCCTGTTTAATAAATATTCTCAAAATTAATTGATACTTTCAAAGTTATTCCAGCATACCAGGAAATTCCTCATCAGAGAGTTGTGAATCATCTGAGTGACGTCTAGTGGTATCTTCGAAATCAGAATCACTGTCTGAACTATTATTGTTTTGTATTTTCTCTTCCCCAATCATATCTTTCAAAATTGAGCCTAATCCTAACCTATAAAAACACTCTATATTAATAACAGTCTAAGAAAGTATTAATTATATTTAAATCATATTTCATTCCATTATAACATTCTTGACACTAGCTTAATGAATATTTGAAATTATAACTGGCAGTACTCGAAAAATGTATCTAAAACTTGATACGTACTTCCCCAATGATCCCAATTGCTTTTGTGTCTCCTCATCAAAGACATCATTATCCAGATGACCATCCTCGTTAATGTTACCAAAGAGGAAACTTGTGAGGGCATCCACTGGTCCTTCTTGATCATCATCACTGTCCCCCATAGCGCCTATATTTAGTACAAACTGCAACACATTAATATGAATAGACAATTGTCTCACGAATGCACACTTTTTACATACACAAGTTTATATTATTATCAATTAGGAACAACACAAAAATGATTAATATTAACAGCGCAAACGAGTCACGCACCACACTCTACGCCATATTGTTTTCATTTGTGTTTATTATGTTGTTTACCTACTACAGCGCCATCAAAACGAATTTTACTGATCACAGTTGCCAACCTAAAAATAACTATAATCAACCGGTTAACTTTGCTTCCTATAGGGAAGAAGCAGGCGGAAAAAAAAAATTGGCTTCGGTATTTTTATATTTATATAACAGTTATGTCCTTATAACGCAATTAGATTTATAAAGGGACTCCTAGATGGATACTTCATTTTAGCATAAAGAAAATGTTTATAATTTCTTACATATTTTTTTTTATTATTTATTTATTTATTGATAAAAATCTCTTTCGGCCCTATTTCTATGGGTTTAACAACCACCACAATTTTTTGTTGGTTTTTAAGAATCGAACCAATGACCTTTCGCATCAGATTTTCGTGATACAGGCGAAGCTTACATATATTTACTATTTGAATACTTTACTTAGCTAACATACTATATATTAACTGAAGCTATATTTAGTATAAGCGTATTTCCTCATTATATATACATTAAACAATTTTTATTGTACAAAAGTTAAAATTATGATTGAAGTCTTCCTGACTCTGATTACGTAAATAGCGGATTTTAATTGTTGTAGGTAATAGATCACAAGATGAAGTGACAGTATTACAGACAAATATACTGTGATATTTAGTAGTATAAAAGTTATTTACAATTACATACAAGACATAAGGTTTTATTGTGGAAAGTCGAACTTTAAATGTAAATCAAATTATTTATTAATATAAATCAAAAAAAAACAATTACAAACAAAAATGATATAGGAATCATTATAAAAATGATTAATTATTTGAAACAAGTATGATTGCTATAATGATAACAGCTCTATATATACGTGAAAGGTAAGACAACATTGATTCATGCTGCAGTTTAAGTAACATAAATACTTAAAAAAAGTGTCTATTTGGTAATGACTGTAAAGGCATATACTAAATAAGAACAAGTAATTAATTATAATAGTCAATACATCTATATATATATTAAAACAAGATATATGAAATTTAAATTTATTTTTTTCATTTTCCTGTTATTTAAGTTATGGGTCTATCATTAGCTCTCGTTTTTTTCCTTATCACCCTTCGTATTGTTATTATCGCTGGTCATGGCCAAAATAGCAGTATGCTGTCCACCGCTCGTGACTCTGAACACTTTCCTTTCACCCATTTGCTTGCTCTTGATCAATGTCGGTTCAACGCAATCCTCCTCATCTCCAGTTCCAATTTGACCGACGGTACCCATACCCCAACCATACAGTTTACCATCATCGGTAACGGCAAAGGAAGTCGCCGAACCGCATCCAATGGTCACAACCTTCTTGTCCGCGAAGAAAGGAATTTTAATCAGTTCTTGAGCTTCTTCGCAATCCTCTCCCAAACCCAGACGTCCGTACTCCTTTCTTCCGATGGCATACACTTTGCCGTCTTTAGTCAAACCAATGGTGTGATGCTGGGCGGAGCATATCATCTCCCACTTGTATTTTGAAAAGTCTTTAGATAACTTAGGTAGGTACTGAGGAACTGTGTTCGGTAAACCAATTTGATAATAGTTGTTTAATCCAAATACGTAGATATCATCTTTGTTGGCGACCTTAGCGAAAGTCGCGTACGTCCCACCCCATATGTTGTCGAAGTGCAAACGGAGGCTCGCCTTCAAACTGATCAGTCCCGGAAGCAGTAGTTTCTCTAAAAAATATCAAATAAAAAAAATGGAACATCGTCGGTTAATAATTGCACAATTTGTTAATTGTTAGATGAGTTTACCAAGTTGTCCTTTACCAAATCCGTTTCTTGCGTTGCGACTGCTAGTCCTGATCGATGTCCTTCCCAGCTGGCCTTGCTCAGCACAGCCGCATGTATAAACGTCACCTTGTTTTGTTAAGAACACTATGTGATCCGCTCCGGAGGCAATCTTCATCACGTGCTGTCCAGGTAAAATTTCATAAGGTAATTTTTCGTTACCAGATAAAGTTAAGCCCATATTTCCATGCGAGTCCTACATATGAATTAAGTATTCCAAGATTAACACATTACTCTTTGGGATAAAATACGATAAAATTAATGATAATTTTCTAAATCACTACAAAGTTGATGCCATACCCTAAATGTACCCCATGCGAAAACCCTGCCATCATCTAATAATGCTGCTGTGTGCGAGTCTCCAGCTGAAATTTGTACAACTTTTGATGGAAGTACAACCATGTCTGGAATGAATTCTGCTTCTTCCTTATCAGCTGTAGATCTTCCCAGTGCTCCTTCATCATTACATCCGAAAGTGATGACCTACCACAACCAGAAGAATAAAATTATAAAATGATTCAAGAATTTAAAAAATAAGAAATGCATACCTTTCCATCCTTTGTTAAACACACTGTGTGCATTCCACCAGCACAAATATCCACAATTTCATGATCCAACTTTATTAAGGCTGGTCTACATTTCTCCAATATATCAGGACCCAGTCCCAATTGACCAAAATCTCCGGCTCCAGTAACCAAGACAACACCATTTTCAGTTATGCTTGGCAACAAGACACTGTCCAAGGTAACTGCAATTCAGAAAATAACGATGAACAACTTATATAACCTCAAAGATAAATGTAATAACTAGAAATACACGATTTTTATTTGAGGTTATGTTATCTGCAAGAGAAACGAAATTGGCAATTTCTTCTCGAGGATGATTCTACGTACACTTAATTCGTTTGGCCTTCTTGACTCCAATCTCTTCGGTTGCACTTGGACGACGCCTTTTTGTTGACATCTCTAAAATAATTGCAAACAGAGGATGATTGTTAGAAGAAAAATACATAAATAACTATGATATAACTTACTTGTTCAGTTATGTGATTTACTATAAATTATAAATATACTTATGAAAATTAATACTGCGATTGTGTACGCTAACTTATTTCCTCCTACAATACTTTGCTCGACTATTCTTTGAGTATACGAAAATACACATATACAAACACGCACGGCAACCAACAAAAACTAAATTAAAGGCGGGAAGTGCGTGCTCACATCACTCCAGAAATTCTATTTACATACCAACATCAGAAACGTAAAATACTTACCAACTTGTACCAACCCAAAAAAAAAATATTTGTGTCAACTTGTTTCATAACCTAATTTAATGATAGGTTAAAATTAAGATATTTACCATGGCCAATATTCAATTCGTCGTTAGGTAAATTAGTTAATTAAAGAAAAATCTTATATTAATACTCATTTCGCATTATTCATTTAGGTCATTAAGCAACGCCAAAAAATCTTTGAAACCTAATTACTGTATGCTTCAGCGATTGTATTGCTCTAAATCAGATAAACCTGAAGATGAAGAAGCTCAGAAAAACAAAACCAATGATGAAGCAATAAAAAAATTGAATTCTCTATTGAGACAAATGGTTGAAGTAAGTGGTTTTAATTTTAAATTTAAGATATGAAGTAATAAATGTTGTTTAGAGTGATACTAAGGTGAAATTGGATTTAGCAAAGCCTGGAAACAAGAAGGCATTGAGACAAGAGGCTGGAACAAAATCTATTAAAAATGAACCTGTTGGTAACTAACTTCCTAAATCAATTGTTCTGTAATTTATATTGGGTTCTTTCTAGAGAAGACAATTGTGAAGGCAGTGAAAAATGTTGCTGAATCCATGGGTGGAAATGTTAAGCAAACTGAATCAGAGTTGCTATCAAAATTGTTAAATCCAGTGAAAGAAGACTTGGAGAAGCCTGCAGCTAGTTTAAGGTTTATCTTCACTAAACTAATTGTTAATTAAATTAATAATTAATGATTTTAGTGACATTGTTAAGGGGATGAAAATCGATAGGGAGACTAAATCTCCCGTCTCTGTCTCGAGAGCGGATCAAGTTAAGCAATTGCTCGATAAAACCAGGCATCAGTCTAACGGACCAAGGGGCGCACCCAGGCAACGTCGTCCGGTCAAACATGAAGTTGCGGTGCACAGCGAACCCATAGATTTATTCGGCGAAGAACCTTTGGGCATCTTCACGTCTCCACTGGAAACGTACCAGGAAAAAGAAAATAGCATGTGGACGACTTTGGAAGATCGCGAATTGAGGTTGGCCGTAACCCAGCCGCCCTCCAACTATTTCCAAGAAATGATCCTGTGGACGGAGCAGGGCAAACTTTGGAAATTCCCTATTGATAATGAGCAGGGCATGGAGGAGGAGAATAACGTGTATTTCGCAGATCACGTATTCATGGAGAGGCATTTGGAACCGTGGTGCCCTCATAAAGGACCGGTCAGGCATTTCATGGAATTGGTTTGCGTGGGTCTGTCGAAGAATCCTTACATGACCGTAAAGGAGAAAACAGACCACATCGAATGGTACAAGAATTACTTTGAAGATAAAATGAAGCTGCTGAAGGAAATTGGCGCCGTTGCTTCGGACACCAAAATTCCGCAGAAGCAGATCGATGCGTAGTTGAAAAATTACTTTAAATAAATAGATTAATATTATTACTTTGTTTTAATTTAAACCCTGTTTAAATCTACAAGAAACCTAAATAATTTTTCAATAATCTAAGTGAATTTATATTATTCGCGATGATGAAAATACTGTTGCGTATAAAATATTTCTAGTTTTATTATCCACAATAGTGAATTATTCTCAAAGGAGACAACTGTAGAAGGGAAAATCTTCATTAACTTGTGGAGATTTAGATCATGTTTCATTAGAATTTCAAACGACTTTCAATTCTCTGCATTTATGGTGTTTATGTAATGGTTTTAAGAAATTTGTTTTAAGGATTAAAACTTGATGTCGGTTAGAGCAAAATTCGTTCTATTTATTACGTCGGTATTTGTTAAATCAGTTGAATTTATCGTTAATATTGTCAAGGTACTGACTGGACATCCACTCCCACCCTTTCCTGTGATTGTATTTGATTAGTTGTTTAAGCGTCATCTTTGGTCGCCTCTTCATCTTTACTTCGTCATTCTCATCGACCAAAGAATTCTCGCTCTTCTTCTTTTCCAGCAACTTATTTATCTCGATCAACTGATTTGCGGCCAAGTTAATCTCCCTCTGCGTCTCCTCGATCGTTTTGATTACGTCGGCGTCGTTGCGTTCGATCTCCAATTTGGTAACGAAGCTGTCGTTTAAAATCTCTTTGATCAGTTGCATGGTTTTCTCCTCGCGGTTTATAGGTTTTTCGGGGACGTTCGGCACGACCTTCTGGTATATTTCTGTTTTGATGCGATCCTGGATGGTTTCCGATTTATTAACTGACAGTTTCTTGACGACGAAAGGATCGTTAATCTGGCTGGGATGATGACGAACCATCGCCGGCGCCGTTCCAAATCTAACTCTTGGATTTGGAGGTTTGCATTGACTCAATTTGTCCACTTTCACTAAGGACTCTAAAGACTTGTTTTGCCTTCTGTACGCTATGTTCTTCGGGTCGTCCGGTCTCCCTCTGATTTTGTAGTAATTCATTGCACATTCGTAAGATAAAAATGGAATGTACGTGCAAATAGATTATTTTAGGAACGTCAAAGAAAATGAATTGTGACAATTGCGATGAGAATATTTTCGCAAAATATTTGAGTATACTTAATAATAGGTGCAGGAGAATATGCAACATAATAACGATGGGTTCAACGAGATCCCACGTGGGTAGTAGCAGGACAAAGAAGGCAATTAGTATCAGGTAACTAACCGTTGCCGTTGCCTTTTGTTGTCGCTCTAAATGCAGAAATTAATCCTGGATGGAAAACGTTGGCAGCGTTTTGCTAATTGAAATAGAGGCGATTTCCATCAATTAAATTCTTAGGTGGTTCATTCATGAACGCTGATAGCTATTCCATTCTTACCATCTTCACCCATTAACGATCTTCTCTTTATTTTTGTTTAACGGTCGCGTTTATTTTCACCGAAACCTCGGTGCGAAAGAGTTCTGTGATAATGTTATGCAATTAATACGGAGGGATCCGGTTCATCGTAGCCATTTACATGTTCTAAAATCGTATTTAGATTGTACGATAATGGTACATTTAATAACGCGTACAATAAACTAATGGGGCCGACAGGTGCTTCATTAATAACAACCCCCCAGACAGACACGCGCCTCTTTGAGACTCCTCCGTTTCCGTTGAATTCAATAGAGAGAAAACAACTTGATATTTGACTATCTCCTATATTTAATTATACCCCCCAACTCTTTCCTTTATTCCATCGATACGGTAGAAGATTATTTTGGAAAGGAAAAAGGCTAAGAAGGTTTTTTTAAATCGCTTTTAAATTGTTTCCACATATGCTATAAATCTTCAAGTTTTATACATTTTAAATTATTAACAATTCTATATAAAACACAAAAGTTTTATTGTATATATTTGTTATGTAACAAATGTATTAATAAATTGATCCGTTTTTGTAATCTAAAACTCTATAATTCACTTATTATAGGATTTTAGCTAAAAATTGCCTGATTTTATCAAAAAGTATTACTTTTTTTTTTAATTGAAAATATTACTGAATTTAAAAAAAATATATTAGCAAGTTAAATTTAATGTGTTTGAAAAGAAATCCTTATTTTAACTATGTTCAGGTAACAACGGGTTAAATCGATTTTAATGTCATTTAAGAACCTTCCTAAATCATTGTTTGTTCAATTCGGCAGGAACGTCTTCAACATCTTTGTGTTTGGTTCTCTAAATCTTTCACTGAAAAACAGTAATATTCTGCATTTAATAAATTTGTAACATCCATACTTCTTCCACATTTTTAATACTTGTTGTTTGAGACATCTGGATAATTTCATTTCTAATTCCTTGGAAGTTATTTTCTTCTTCTAGGACAAATTTTTGTCATATTTTGATTGAAATTGAATTGAATGTTGTGATTGTTCATGAATCAAATACAAATATTTTCTAATGATTTAATTAAACTAATAAGATAATTTACTGTATTAAAAACAAAATGAAGATAATTTAGCACAGTTAAACAAGATTTGTCGAAACTCAGTTTTGTTTGCGTGTGGTCAAAAATTTGAAACGATTATTGTCCATTTGCAAATATTGATTTAAAATAAAATCTATTGTGTAAATTCCAATTGAGATGCTGCTATTACACATGATGGCACTTGTATTTGCATCATGTAACCTATGTACACGAAGATATTATTTACAGAGAAAACGTCTTCGTATTTACATTTTTTTGAGATATTATATTTACCGAGAAATTCAGAAACTGTTATTAAATAAATATTCGGTGTGACAAGACGTCATCAGACACTCACGCCAGAAGAAGAATTCCTCGTTTATTTGAATTTTTTTCTCTTCGTCTGCGACATGTTGAATATTAAACAAAGCAAGAAAATAAAAAGAAGAATGTAGGAAATTGCAGCAACAACGAAAAGTATAAACTAATAAAACAAAACAAAAAAAAATAAACGAAAGAAGAAGAAACAGTGAAACTGTGTTATCATTATTATTATTATTTGGAGCGTGAGAATTGAGATTTGTGTTGTTTTATTAAAATTTATTTTGTTCGCGTGAAAAATTTTCATAATTTTATTGGGGAATTATTCGGAACAGCGGACAGATGATGCAATAAATATGGAAAAGCATTAATATTTTAATAAAATTGAAATAAGTGAGCGAAATGGGACTTCCGTGAACAGAAGGTAAAGTGGACAAATTTAGACTATTACAAAAATTATTGTTCGCAACTGCGGAATGTTTCTACTAAATTGCGTAATTTTGCATACAATTCCATAGACGAAATTTGAATAAGTTGTGGTGATATTAACAATATCATGTGTATGAAAATAGAATATTTTTATTTATTTTAACTAAATTATTGCTTTTATGAAACATAAAATTACTCAGAAAATTTGCAAGTTTAACATTTTTATCTTTACGAATCTATGATTATTTCAAATAAAATATGTTTGTACATATAATCACTTAAAATTTAAAAAGAAATTTCTATAATTTGGCCAATTTTGTGATATCTACTTAAAATCCTATTCAGACCAAATTATGAATCCTTTAACAAATGAAAAACTCGGGTTATAGTGAATCCGGACTGATCGAAGCGCGACTATGCGAGGTATTGTCGAATTTGTAAATATTCAATAGATATCTGAAAACTATGTTATGAACTATTTGTTTAAGTCAATTGTCAAAAAATTCAGAATTTGTGTGTAAAAATTTAAAATGGAAGTGGAATAAAAAAATGTTTATATCAGATTTTTTTTTGCTAATTAGTTAATAATTAAAAATAACATGAGAGAGAGAAAGTTTCTGTAAAAAAAGTAAATAAAAATTGCAGTTAATATTTCAATTAGAAATTATGAAATTTTTAATTATCAAGTTAAGTATTTCCAAAAGGTATTTAAATTGTTGAAAAATTTAAATATTTTGTTATATAAAAGTTAAAATTTAACGGTGGTTTTTATTATTGTTAAGCATATCATAGAAAAATGTTTACGTTTTTCTTGTGAACATGAACATGAACTTGTCTACATTTTTATAGTTTATGCGATAAAAGTATGAAATTATTTCAAATATCCTGTAAATATTATTAACAAAAAAATACGATATTAGTAATAATTTGGTAGAAAGAATAAAAAAAATGTAAAAAAACAACTGTATTTAATTAAAATAGATCTTTATTAAATAATTACAATTTAAATATAAAATTTAGTTTCGCTTTGTTGGATTTATGAACGTGGTTCATCAATTTGATTGTTTCGCTAAATATACATATGTAAAAGAACATAAATATAAGAGATCAAACTGCTGATAAATACAATCTTTGTCGTAATATACTATAGTTACAATAATAGTTTAATAAAAAATATAGTTAAATACATATACAAATATAAATAAAACCTACAAATAAATTTTGGTTCTGGACTAGAAAGTACCTGATCTATCTATACAGATGCTCGTGATCCGCAATCACTTACATAAAAAACACTATAAAAAAAGAAATAATGAATAGTATTTGGTTCTTTCAGTTAATTTACCCTAACAGATTAATATAACAGTTCAAAATATTCTTTCCGCATGAGTTTTTGGTGCATCGATGAATATTTATAGAGATTCTGAACATGCAAATCTTTCAGTAAACATGTGGAGAATAATTTTATTGGATTATTATACCGGACGGGTTTCGTCGAAATGTTTGTGAAAACTACGGATTTATCTCTTTATATATTTGTTGGAACAGTTAGTTTTTTTTCTACTTGTTTAGATGCAATTCCGTTTTTTTTGTTAAATAAATTGTGGTATTTTATTAATACGTATGGTCAAGTCGTTATTATTATTATAATTACGTGGGCAGTAAATAAGTTGGTTTTCCACTGCGGCGTGTTGCGATGATTTAAAGTACTGTGAGAAATAAATATAATGATGATGATGGAAGTAGATTATTGCGCGAGTCGTGTTATCTATTCATAGAATCTCGCTGCAGAAGGTCCATCAACGCGGAAATGTACGTCTGTGCCATTTGCAGTGTCTCGAACTTACTGAGCTTCTGCTCCGTCTCCAGATTGGGAATGACCTGTCGCAATCTGTCGAAGGCCTCGTTCAACCCGTTCATCCTCCTTCGTTCCCTTGCATTTGCCGCCAACCGTCGCTTCTTCATCACCGTCGGCGACGGTTGCCTCTCCCTCACGATGCACCTCTTCCTGCTCCTCACCTTCATCTTCGCATCAGGAAGATTCGTAGCTTCGAAGATGCCACTGCCATTATTGTTGTTGCCGCTGCTGTTACTACTATTGTTATTGTTGTTTGTACCTTCGAAGTGGTAGTAGGAATCCGCAGCGGAGGAGAAGCTGTCGAAGGTGTCCGCGTCGAATTGCTCGGGTTGCTCGCTTATCCTGATGTTGAAATCCCTTTCCAGTTTTATCGTTGCCTGGTCGTCGTAACGGAGATTCGAGAGATTTATGAAGCTGTAACTGGTGTTTTGGTAGTTCTCGTAGTTTTGGTACACGTTCATGTCTTGCGTTAAGCGACTCGCGAATGGTTTTATTACACTCATCATCGGTTCTGATCTTCCGCAATATATTTAAAACATATTTCACTTCGCGTTTGTTTAAAGGAAAAACTTATTTTCTTCTCTTATTTTTTTTTATTGCAGCTGGATTTGTTCTCCTCTTTAACACTCGACTCGAACTGAACTGAACGTGCGGAGGGTTAGATCGATGACCCAAGTATACGGAAGTGCGGAAGTCGAATAACTGATCGAGTCCGGGGTTGATACTGACCTGCTCTAGTCGCGTGCCGCTAGATTCAACACCCGATACCAACGCCAGGGTTGGCTTTAGTTTTATTCTTTTTAAACTCAACCCACTTTCTCGTACATTCATTCAAACTGAAATTTTATTTCAATTTTTTTATTTATTTTTTAAATAACGGATTAATAAATATTATATTATACTTAAGATACAGAGAAATTACTATATTTACTGTAAAAATCTCAAGTATATTCATTAAATGTTAGAGAGTAAATAAAATATTTCATGTAATTTAATTTCAAATATTTTTTTTTAACAAATTCAAGTTAGTTGTATAAAGATAAATCTTATATATTTCTGAATTCTGTGTGCAATCGCTGTTGCATATTTTCTTTTTTATTTCTTAAAAAAATCTCTTAAAATAAATTTGCTCAATAAATTTATTGAAAACACATAAAAACAAAAATACATCTTGCAAAAAAGTTAATTAATCTGTAGTTCTTCATTAATTTAACACTTTCAAGACACAACACATTTTTAGACTACTGAAAAACACTACTTCGTCAACTTAATATTGGATTGTATGGATTATCAAGATTCATCTCTTTCGTCTCTTGACATACCAACCAAATTAAATGGTAATTCCTCTTTCCTGTCCTATTAGGCATGTTCAAAAGATGATACATTAACTCAAAGAGTTAAACCTTTCTTCTCAAGAGTTTAATTGTGAATTTATAATATTTTGGTATATTTCTTGTATTTTCTTATTTTTTATGTTAAATAAATACAATAAATTATAATATGTTCTTTCATTATTTCATTATTTGTGTGTTTTATAAACGAAATAAATTATGTAATTAATTCTAAACGATTTGATCAATAAATTCTAATATTCTTATAAAAAATCATATATTTGTTAATAAATAGTAGAAGATGAATTTTATGAAATTTGGAATTGGATTGAAATATAAAGAAAACTGAAAATTAAATCTAGTAAATATTATACAAATATCTATTTCAGATATTTGTATAATCCCTTTTATATGACATTGTTGTCATTATTAGAAATGACATATCTGTCATTCATACAAATGACGTTTCATATTTATATAATCAAATCTAATGTTTACATGAATCTATCACAAACAAATTCAAGATAATCTAACCTTACTTAATCTACACGTAATGGATTTAGAACAGCATTTCTCATTTTTTTTATTTTCCCATCTAACATATTTGTTTGTAATTGTATTGTATCCCTTTTATTAACAGTATTTCACCAGTTCCTCGCTTTGACACTTGGTGACAGCTGTCATTTCGTGATACATTAAAAATATAACTCGATCTAGATCGATAAAGATGAGATCTTTCATGTAAAATATGTAATAACAGTTTCAAAAAAAAATGTTAGTTTCTTAAATGTTTAAGAAATAAAAAAAAATCTTCTGATCATAAGGCTATCGACCGCAATATTCCTACCCGAGGCTACTATAAAATAAAACATTATATTACATACAAATTTATTGTACCTATACACAATAAATAAAAACCTTGCTTTTATCTTATTACTAATAAGTATCGACGTCTGATTTTTGTTTTGTTTGCCTTCGACAATGACATTCATTGTTTGGCAAATTATAGGATTTTCAACAAACTCCGATCGGCCATCCTTGACCTTTTAACGATCCTATAAAGTAACAATTAAGTATAAAATTGGAAGGAAAGAATAGAAAGCGAAAAAAAAAAAAAGAATAGAACAGAACACAGACACTCAGATACATCTAGGAATTACGCGTGCTCGTTACTAGCAGAAGAAGAAGAAAATTAATACCGAAGTCAATAACCCCTTGTCTCCTGCAACGTGAGTTATGGAGTTTCCTTTCGACATTATTTTCAAGTACAGCACGAGCGCATCTAAAGATCACGACAAATCTATTTGGAATTACCTCCGTAATCGGTTTCCAACCGAAAATCTTGTTAAAATTTACTTCTGTATGTTTTTCGTTAATCGCTTCAGGTTGAGTAATAATTCAGTCCTCTTTTTTTATATATAATTATAATTCAATTATTTTTTTTATAAATCACAAATTTACTATTTTTTTTGGTTGTCTAAAAGTTTATATAGTTAATCATAATAATAACGTAAATACAAAAAATAATAAGTTAACAAAAATAATTTCATACTTGAACTAAATAATTGATATCTATTTATACAGTTAAGGGCGACTAATAGCCAAATGGTTAAGCGCCGGTTCGAATCCTGGTCAAGCCAGGCCCTTTGTGAGCCCTCTCGGTACTTGCTGCAATAGGGCCTTCGTTAATACAGATGGACAGTCAAATGAATGAGGTTCAAGCATATGGACCTTCACCCAAGTTGATGGACAATGGCAGTGTTAAAGATAGTAGCAGATTCACAGTCAAAGGAATTAGTGGAATCGCAGAGCATCAATATAATATAAGTTAACCTACAACACGACAAATCATCATAATGGTAACTATCCACCTGGAAAGATTATCTATTTAATGTCAACCGTGATCTTAACATTACTCAATGTTCACATTGATCAACAAATTGTGGATAAAATTATACAACAAAAAAAATATGCAGTGTGACTTTGTGAAATCAAGAAAAAAGATTTATTACATATTGTATAAGTTGTAAAGTTACATTTAATAGATGGATAATGTGAGAAAATTAAAGTTCTTCAATCTATAAAAAAAATGTCTTTTATGGTTCATGAGAACATTAATTTAATATTAGATTACAAGATGTTTATTTTATCGAAAAAACGTTAGGCTTAAATGTTGTATAACATTTGTCACATTTGACATAAATGTCATTTATTATTTTTAGTAAATCTATGATTAGGATTTGTGTGTAACTAATATAGCTGAATTCTTATACAAAATTATTAATAATCTGCTATATTAGCGTTTCTCATTCTATAGGATTTTTAATGACAGCTGTCACACTGTGTCAAAGCAAGGAACTGGTGGTTGTGCAACCACATACATGTTGATTCGCGTGGTCAAAATATTGAGGAACTCTGTTGTAAACAATGAATAAAGAATTGTAAAAAAAAACAAACTGAAATTCTTAAATTTAGTAAATAGTATATATTTTTTTGTAACAACACAATTTCATTTTAATTTATTTTGTATATTCGTTAGTTAATTAAAAATAAATGTCAATAAAAAAGGAAGTCAAACAAAAAGAGTACATTTCTTGTATTGACATTTATGTCATTTGTACAAATGTCATTCCATATTTACATTTTGATTCCAAGTCATTTTTTAAACTAATTTATTTATTTATGTAACTAATATATAAAAATCATGCTAATTTAATGAATAAATGAACGTTAACTCTTATATTTGATCATAAATGTCTCTATTATTAATATTTATTAAAATCAATGTCAATTGAATAAAACTTATTTACGTTTGACATTTATGTCATTCGTACAAATGTCATTTCATATTTATCAAAATTGTAACCTATAATTTTACGTACAATTTTTATGTAATTAATACAGAAAAGAAAATTTTACTAAGTTAATTAATCTAATATAAATCAATAGCGTTAAACCTTATTTTATTAATTATAAGTATAAGATAATAATGCTATTATTAATCCAATTTATTTCTGTTTTAATTAAGTTTTAAACGTTTAATTGTATTAATAAATGTTTAATAATCCTAATATATCTTATAATAATTATGACATTTTTTATTGAAATAATTTAACAAACAATCAGAGTAAAAGATGTTAATATTTTTTTTGACAAAAATCATCAAATTTAATTCAGTTTTCTTGGAGTTTCGGTGATGGTTTTATGTATAGAATAATTTCTAAATACGGCTCTGGATTGTAGCATCTGTTGACATGGCTAGTATTTTTCGGCATTCTTGAACATATATCCACCTTATGTCGGTCGCACGTGGCGCTTTGAACTGTGTGTGTGTGTGGTGGGGATGAAACAAAACATACACCCTTAGTCAAAGCGGAGAACTAGATTAGAGTCGAAAGTCGCGGGAGCGCGGCGTGTGCCACAGGTCTAGGGCAACAGCTAACTGACAGATGCGGTAATTAAGTCGGGAGATGTTACGTGCACGATTAGATGGTGCGATTGGCCGGAGACCATGAATATTTATACGTAGCCGAAGAGTTCAGAGTCTCGATAAGACATTTCGTTTTCTAAACGGACCGTTGCATCTTAACTTTTCAGCATGCACTTCGTTAATGACCCATTTTTCTTATTATTTTTATGGTTTTCTTCTTGTTGTTGTTGTTAATTTGTCCACCGCTTCTCTTTTTCCACCTCAACAGTCGTCCGTGTAAAATGCTAATCGCGCAATTTATTACGAAAATTATGCGCTGAATTTTGAACTCGAGCATCGATTTCCATAATCGTAACGGTCAGAAAAGGCAGAGGAAATGAATGCTTGGATTGTAATTCTGTGAATATTCATTAGGAATCTATTAATTCAATTACATCGCTTTTCCATATATGTTAAACTATTGCATTTTCCTCATTATAAAACATTTTCTAACATTTATTTATTCTTGTCCGGCGCTGAACTCTGTATGCAATTAATTCCTGGGATTCGCGTCTTCGGAATTTGTCTACTCTTTTTTTGTGAGTGTGTGTGTTAAGCGTATAATTAATTCGGGTATGTCCTCAAACAGGATTCAAATCTCGAGGTGTAATGTAATCGATAAGCTGTTTGATTTTATATTGAACTCATACAAGATTTATATTATGTAAAGAATTCATATCTATGAATACTAAAATTTAAGATA